GGCTTCCACGGACCCGGCAAACGCATTCGTTTCGGGTTACGGCGTGATTGTCGCCTATGAAAGCCGCAAGAGGGGATGCGGGGGACGACCCGGGAGAACGCAGTGGGAGGGCGGTACCCCCTTAACACCGGGCACGAGGCAAAAAGGGGTCCAGCTGCGCTGCATCCTTGTTCGGGCTGCTCCGAAGGGAGTCCGGGGATTATTAAAATGCCAGAGGGGAGAAAGAGGGGAACCGTTCTACTGTTACCGAGGCTACGAAACCGGTAACCCTCCTCGTCCCCCCTTACTCGGCCTCTTTTCGTTCCCCTCCACGATGGGCCGGCTGATTCGGTATTCAAGTTCGGAGTCGTGCTGCACGGGCCGCTGCATAAAATGTACCCTCCCCTGCTTCTCTCCCCCTACAATGATACCAATCAACTATCCGCCATCGACCCTACCAATCAGGGAGGCTTTGATGCGCGGCGACAACATTTTTCGGGGTTAATTCCCGGCAAGAACTAGGCAGCTTTGATCGATTGCGGTCTTCGAGATGTTGGGAAAAACGGCTTTTCCCCAAATTTTCGGGAAATGGATTGGCTAATGCATCATCGTGTTACTCAGCTTTCGGTAATCTATCGATTTTTTAAAGTCTGGTTCTACTTTGTTTAGGTACTTCGTTGTGGACCTCGTTGTCTGACGTCGGTCAAATGACGTTGGTCTAAGTAGATATTTAATTTTGTGATATCAAATACATTATATGCCATATAAATTAGTTGCGTTTTGTCAAGTTAAGTTTGCATTTTATCAAGTGTAAGTTGTTTTTGAACAACTGATAAGTTTAATACGTATTTCAGTTTCAGCCAAGTGGACCATTTTTCAGTTTTAGCAAAGTGGACCATTTTTCAAATATTGTTTCAAATTACTTGTTTTCTACTTTTGCCTCTATGAATTGTCTTGTCTTACATATTTCTCTCTATACTCCTCTCTAAATTATGTCTTATTACTGGTCATGTTAAATCAACCATATCAAACCAAATCATGTCCCTTGCAACTCACATGACAGCTCAATAGTCCCCAAAAGTGAGAGTGCACTATAAATACATAAAATTCAAAATAAAAAAGATATGCAACACGAGTAATGAGTACTCTATTTTATGGAACATAATTCACACTATGGTCCCTGTCATCATTTAATGACCTAAACAAGAGAATCCTGCGACCCTTCAACACCTTGCAGAGTCTTGGACACCTTGCACCGCACTAACACAAAGAATAGGTAAAGCACGTGCAGTCTGTCCCTTCGGGGCTAGTTACCTGCGTATTTTAAGGTCCTAATACTTTGTTTAGGGTGGGTCTATTGTCAAGTGAAGAACGCTAAATGAAATCATTAGAGGTCGACTTGAGATCCAAAAAAATGTTGCCTTCGACCATTTTTTTTGGGGAGTTTCGACACCGTAATTTGCTTGTAAAATACGTGAGGGACATTTGTTGTCATATCGAGGACGTTTCCACCCAAAATATTTTTGATATTTGTATTTTGTAATTTATAGCGCAATTAAAAGGTATAAATTATGTAGCTCACGTTGTGAATAATTTATCTTACCTTGTGAAGAATTTATCTTGTTATTAGAAATCTGGGATGAGGTCCCTTGTCCAGGTTATCCAATGGTCAGTTCCTGAAGATCTGAAAAAAAATCTGAAACAAAATTTCATCCAAATTACTATAATAATTTTATCCAAAATTATTTATGGTAATTTTCAATAAAATTACAGCTAGCATTTGGGAAAATAAGGATGAAATCATGAGTTAGCTTCACAGCTTCACTAAAATTTTCCTGTCTTAATTGAGCGAATAAGTAGAAGACTTTGGAGTCACCCTATATACACCGTCGAAAGGGAAATAAAAAACAGGAAGAAACGGCAGGGGGAATGGTACAGCAGTCTCCACAATTTCTCGCGGCTTTATGCCGCTCTCTGGTCTCTCACCTTCGAGCGAAGAACAGCTTACTCGCGGCCCAGGCGCGCATAATCGCACGGAAACGTTCCGCAAACAGCTCCGTCCCGGGTCCATAGATTCCCGCCGAGTTTGTCCCGGATATCGTGCAGGCCAACTGCGGGTAGGGTTCGTCGGCAACGTCCCGTCACTAATTACATTCTCCTCGCGCAATCACGGCCGCGTGTACACTTACAGGCGTCCCGTTCCGTTGCTCTGGCCCGCGTCCAATTCCCTTCCTGGATTGGAAGCTATCCTCGGACGCTGCTACGTCGTCCCACTCTCCCGAAAAGTGGCCTTCCTGCTGGCTACCGACGCTGATTCCTTCTGATGGGACACCTGAACGCTTCGGGTTACTGATGGCCCAGCTGCCTCGCTCCTGCAATACTCGAAACACCTTAGTATCCAGGTCTTGGGTTCGTGTTTATGTTGGACACCGATTTCACAGTTTCGACCGATAATTTGGAACTGGTGATAGGTGCTATTGTGCAGAGGAGAATGTTGGGAAGTTCGAAGAACTTTGAAGGTGTTTGGTTTATGTTGGGGCAGTTTGATATTTTAAGTGGTTTGTTTAATTCGTTTGAAGGATTTAGATAGAATTAGGATAATGAGATAGCTGACAGATAGCTGGGAGTCTGATAGCTGGGAGTCAGATAGCTGGCAGTCAGATAGCTGGCAGTCAGATAGCTGGTAGTCATACAGCTGGCAAGCTAGACAGTTGACAGATAGCTAGATGGCTGTCAGTCAAATAGCTGATAGTCATATAGCTGACTGTTAGATAGTTGACAGATAAATAACTGACGGTTAGATAACTGGCGGTCAAATCGCTGGTAGTTAGATAGTTGACAGACAGCTGACAGTTGGATAGCTGACAGTCAAATAGCTGGCAGTCAGACAGTGGACAGATAGCTGATGGTCAGATAGCTGGCAATCAAATAGCTGGCAGTCAAATAGCTGGCAGTCATATAGCTGTCAATTAGATAGCTGACAGTTTAGTGTCCTATTTACTAAAAGAATTTGGTCGAAAAATCTAATTATAATTCAAATAAAATATCTAACTATAGAATAAGTAATAAAAATGCTTTAAAAAAAAAGATACCTAGAAAAAGATAAAAATGAATAAATGACTAAAATTGCAAACTTCTATTAAAAAATAAAAAACAAAAGAGATAAGTAAACGATAGAACGTAGAATAAAGGCAGTCCAATGTTTCCAGAGTTATAAACACAAAATCCGAAAGAGGTTCATTAAAAAGGCACGACGAAAGTATGCCGTGAAATAAAAGATTCGTTCAGTTTATACAGGTGCCAAAATCGAATAAACTAGAATATTCTAGTTAGTGCTTTTTGTGCAACAGATATGGTAGAATTTTTGAAAAGCGTATGACTTTTTGAGAACGTTTCGGCACGAGTCGCAAGCAATTTGCTTTGACGTTTCCGCAGCTGGGGATATAACGAGTTTTGGAAAACGTAGAATGGTCTTTCGCTTGTATCCGCGAAAGAGACGGAAAGACAAAAATTCGATTCTGAGTTGAATTACGGGTGATGCGAAAAATGAAGGGGTTGGAGGTGGCTTATTGAGAAATGCCCTTTCAAACAAATTATTTACATCGCAGAAAATTAATTAAATTTTCTCTTAAAAGAATTAGAAACGGAATAATATTACAAGTTATAAAAAAGAATACTTTCAAAGCGAATTTGAAAAGAGTTTTAAAAGCAGTCGATGATTAGCAACATTCAATTGTAAAAGTATTTAATGTCACTATATTAAGCAATCGACAAATAATTTTTCAAGACATGCATAATATTTTTAACTTTATAAATACGTAAAAAAATTCAAATTGTAAAATGTCATCACACTAAATAATTATTTAAACTTTATAAACTTAAGAGTTAGATCAAAATCAGAACTTGTACAAATGCATTCATTGATTCAACCGATATGCAACGATCAACAACCTAATTAATTATAAACTAAACACAAATTAATTATAAACTAAACACAAAGACTTTTTGTTAAATTTACAAGTTGTTCACAGATCAAGATATTAATACAAAATTCATAGAATGATCAAACCGATACGACAATGATATTAATAACAAGAGCGTAAGAAAGTGTGTGCATGAAGTGGTGTTAGATGGAAAAAGCGTAATGCTCGAGGCGTCGAAAGCGATAAAATTTTATCAGAGACGGCGAGCGTGGTACACGCGAACACGCAAAAATCCATACACGCGACCAACCCCCTTAACACACCCCCATGTTACGGGGTGAGATCTGTAAAAGTTGAAACACTCGGGCAGGGAAACGTCGCGCGTTTATCCGCATGATTGCGCGCGGATATCGAGCCGCAGAGATATCTTCTCGACTCGTTTCTGTTATCGGAAACTTTCCAAGGAACGATGCAAAGTGCTAAAAGAACGATTATCCTTACACGGGATCGTATTCTCTTGACAGAACGTACAATTTTATCATTCTTTCTCTTTTTTTGGAGGTTTCGTTCACAAATTATTTGGTTATTTATGTTTTAAGGTTTGAGGACGCTAGCTTCACAAGATGGCGGACATTAGACTCTTCGTTTGAGGTTAGTTAGTTAGACTCTTCGTTTGAGGTTAGCTAGTTAGACTCTTCAGTTGAGGTTAGTTATTTTACATCTTTCGTTTTTCAAGGTAGAAGTCGTCCAATTTCTTGAGAGTGTTTGTTATTTTGATTCTTTGTCGATAAAGTATTGAGTTATTTGCTTTCTAAGGCTTGAGGACGCTAACTCCACAAGATGGCGGATTTTAGACTCTTCAGTCAAGCTTAGTTATTTCAAATCTTTTGTTTTTAAGGTAGAAATCGTGTAATTTCTTGAGTTTGTCTGTTATTTTGATTCTTTGTCCGTAAATTATTCGGGTATTCACTTTTTAAAGCTTGAGGACGCTAACTCCACAAGATGGCGGACTTTAGACTCTCCAGTCAAGCTTAGTCATTTCAAATCTTTTGTTTTTAAGGTAGAAGTCGTTTAATTTCTTAAGTTTGTCCGTTATTTTGATTCTTTGTCCATAAATTATTCGGGTATTTACTTTTTAAGGCTTGAGGACGCTAACTCCACAAGATGGCGGTCTTTGCACTCTTCAGTCAAGCTTAGTTATTTCAGATCTTTTGTTTCTAAGGTAGAATTCATTCAATTTCTTGAGTTTGTCTGTTATTTTGATTCTTCATCGATAAAATATTCAATTCTTTATTTTTCAAAATATGAGAAAGCTGTCTCATCAAAATAGCGGACGTTAGAATACCTTTATTTTAAGTTAGCAACGTGATCTTATCTTTCTTTTGAGTTTTCTGTCGACAGTTCACTCGATTAGTTACTTCTTGAATTATTCAGAACATCGTCAAAACGACACTTTTCCAATCTTTTATTTTAAGCGAAAACTATTCAATTATTCTCTTCTTGGAATATTCAGAAGCATGTCAAAATAATGAACTTCTATCCAAAATTTCAATCCGAACTTAATTTTTTTATAAATCTTGTAAAATAATTTTGTTATAATTCATGCGGAATAATTTTGTTATAATTCATGTAAAATAATTTTGTTATAATTCATGCGGAATAATTTTGTTATAATTCATGTAAAATAATTTTGTTATAATTCATGAAGAATAATTTTGTTATAATTCATGAAGAATAATTTTGTTATAATTCATGAAGAATAATTTTGTTATAATTCATGAAGAATAATTTTGTTATAATTCATGAAGAATAATTTTGTTATAATTCATGAAGAATAATTTTGTTATAATTCATGAAGAATAATTTTGTTATAATTCATGAAGAATAATTTTGTTATAATTCATGAAGAATAATTTTGTTATAATTCATGAAGAATAATTTTGTTATAATTCATGAAGAATAATTTTGTTATAATTCATGAAGAATAATTTTGTTATAATTCATGAAGAATAATTTTGTTATAATTCATGAAGAATAATTTTGTTATAATTCATGAAGAATAATTTTGTTATAATTCATGTAAAATAATTTTGTTATAATTCATGAAGAATAATTTTGTTATAATTCATGAAGAATAATTTTGTTACAATTCATGTAAAATACTTTTGTTATTATTCATGTAAAATAATTTTGTTATAATTCATGTAAAATAATTTTGTTATCATTCATGAAGAATAATTTTCTTATAATTCATGTAAAATAATTTTGTTATTATTCATGAGGATTAATTTTGTTATAATTCATACAAAATAATTTTCCTATAATTCTTATGAAATTATAACAAAAAATGTATATTCCTCTTACAAATATTTGTCCTCATAAATGTTTTAATTCTTCGTAAATGTTCTGAAGCACAGAAAAATGTTGCAAAGCACCATCTAATAAAAACTCCTCTCCCCTCAAAAATCTTGCATCTTCCAATGTATCAACTCCACCGAACTCAATTCCTGAAAACTCCCCTTAAACCCTCCCTCAAAATAATCCTCCAAAAATGTATCTCGAGATCTATACAGTATGTCCAATTTTCGCACCCGTTACAGCAGGAAAATTAACGCGAAAATTCCCCCCGGGAAAAGTTGCGCAATTTTTCCCCACGTGTGCTCGAAGGTTCTCATCAAAGTTCCCCGCCACGGAAGAAGTTCGAAAATTCCTCGAACATCGCGGCTTAAGGCGAGTTTCGCTCGGCTAGAAGAATAGAGCCCGCGGTTTTAACGACGTGAAATTTCGCACGCGCTAGCTATCTTCACCAGAGGCCAGGTAACTGGCGACTTCCTACTGCAGGAAGATCCTGGCCCACGATGGATGGGGTTGTACAGGAAACCGGGATTCTTCTCGCTCGGGGATCCGCCGGCTAACGGAAGCCAGTTATCCCGCGTGTTGATCTTGGATCGCTGGTACAGACGGTAAGTACATAGAAAATCCGTGTCTGCCGGCAAGTTTTCGGGGGAAAAATTGGCCGGGTAACCGGGAATAATCCTCGATTTCTAGCTGGATCGTGGTCGAAGGTAATTTCTGCTTGCGATTCGATCCTGGAGAGATTGGAGGTCTGACGGAAGATTAATAGCCAACGCGACGCAGTTGTGTTTTCTTGCGCTGAATCTTCAACGGAATCTTCAAAGTTTAATTGGAAGTTTGTCCTTACTTGATGCCTTGAAATATACGAGGTTATGGTCTTTTGGTAGGAAAATATTATAGTTATTGTACTGTTTTATGTCGTATTTAGTTTAGAATTCATTGGTTAGAGTCTTGAAAGAATATTGAATGAATGAGCTACTAAAATTATGTACTTTTGATTAGAGAAAATTTATAAATTTATTTGTAGATTTGTCCTCTTGTTTAAATATATGAATCTACTTATTTGAATAAGTGAGGTTATGTTCACTGAATATATGAATTTACTTGTTTTAATAAGTGAGGTTATGTTCTGTTGATATACGAATTTACTTGTTTAGATAAGTGAGATTATGTTCACTTATGACAATGAGCTATTAAAATTAATTTAAATATTCTATGACAAACATTATTATATAATTTTATGTTAGGTTCTATGTTTTATTGTATAGAACCTTGAGGGAATATTAAAACATTGAGCTACTGAAATTATGTAGTTTTGATCAGAAAAAATATCACAAATTTATTTGAAAGTTTGTTCTCCTGCGTAAATACATTAATTTACTTGTTTTAATAAGTGAGATTATGTTCAGTTAATATACGAATTTACTTGTTCAGATAAGTGAGGTTATGTTCACTTATGACAATGAGCTATTAAAATCAATTTAAACATTATCTGACAAAAATTATTACGTAATTTTATTGTATAGAACCTTGAGGGAATATTAAAACATTGAGCTACTGAAATTATGTAGTTTTGATAAAAAAAAATATCACAAATTTATTTGCAAGTTTGTTCTCCTGTATAAATATGTGGATTTACTTGTTTGAATAAGTTAGGTTATGTTCAGTAAATATATGACTTTACTTATTTAGATAAGTGAGGTTATGCTCAAGGA